TTACTTATGTGAAATAAAGGAGCAGGTTGGCATGACAGGAGACTGGGGATGTGGGGAGAGGACACATTCTTATCTAAACACAGAATGCCAAGTAGCTAGAACGATACATATCTAAAATATATGTGTGTGTTTAATTACTGTGTATCAATAATAATAGGGAGTTGGAAATATGAGGAGTAAAAACCATTATTTAGAGTAAAGTGTGAGCAGGAGAATGCCCTTATTTGAAGATAGCTCAGATCTCTGAAACGAATGTGCGTTCTCTGTATATGTTATGAAGGGTCCGTGCAGGACACCCAATGTGTCTGTGTTACCTTAAATGGTAAAAGAAGACCTGAAAAGATGACCAGCTGACCCAACCCCCTCCTGTTTGTTTTCTGGCATGAAAGCCTATTGAGTCCTGGTGTCCGTTCTCTTTCCTCCAGCTGCCAAGACGAGTAAGTAAGAGTCCCCAGCGGAGGACAGGGCCGGAGTAATCCCGATTACTTCGTGATGATATTGTATTTATATCTTTTACCATTAAATCAGCATATTTGTTATAACTTTACCAATGATTGCTGTGAATTCTTCCTCTGTTAATCTGACCCATTCACAAAAGGACGCGCGGAGGCAGAGGGGGGCCTAGAGCCCCCACCAAAGAATGACTGTCACAACAAATTGCACAGGGGAAAATAACGTAGGCTATCTTTAGATGCGGATTTTGTTAAACTAATATGTTTTCGCTGTGGACCAACACTATACATTGACGGGGAAGGGGGTAGCAATAAAGATAACACCATTAAACAGTTACACAACATAACAGAAATAATATCGATAGCAGCGTCCCTAGCAACCACCTTGGTAACAATGAAAACTTCCTGAAGTAATCTTCGTAATAACTAGCAAACTAAAGATCATGTACATCCACTGCACACATAATCTGAAATAACAACTCATATTTCTCGCATCAAATGACATCAAAACACATTTTAATGACCAAACTAACTTTAAAATAGGCATTTTACACCGAGAATAAAACGAAGTTCGGCCATGTTTTCTTTTTCTGCAGGGAGAAATTTGAAGATCACGTGACATAGACGCCAGCCATTGGAATGAATGGTGAAAAAAAACGGGGTTTGTCAAACAGAGCACATGGTGTTGTCCAATGTCCATACTTACTTCCGGGTGTACAATTCTCCGTTATCCAATGAGAATGGACGCTCACATTGCCTTTCAGGGCAGCGACACAAACGAATGCCGTGCTTCCATGAGCGTCATTACCAGTAGAAATACATTGCTTTTAAAATCGTGCTGTGCAACACGAAAAAAAGGGGAAAATCGTGTTGGTGAACACGAATCAATAGATTAAAAATCTCGTTAGTGAACACGAAATGCCATGAGACTGGGTTGTCACATCGTACAAGGAAAAACTTCCAGAGAAAAACCCACAGTTTAAAGGAAAAAAATGGGAGAAACCTCAGGGAGAGCAACAGATTATTAAATTATTACTAATTAAAGACTGTATAATTGCTATTTTGCACATCCCTTTCAAGATTTCAAGATTTTCAAAGGTTTATTGACATATCATATACACAACTACGGTGTATGCAATGAATGAAAATCTTGGGTCACAGGTTCCTCGACAGCGCATTATAAGACATCTATCAATATGTGTGTACCTCCACCATTAAACTGTCATATTCTGCACATTTATTATTCTATCTACATACATAAGAGTATACTTGATGTGTATAAAATCAGTTAAAATAAGTGCTTCAACATAGTTAACATTGCAGGAAAGCAATATATTAGACGTTAAGTACTTTGTCAGGCTTAATATTTATCTGTAGATAGATACCCCCAAAGTTTTTTTCTTATTTGAAAGAAGACCTTAATCTAAAGTATTATTTAATGTTTAAATAAAGGTTAATTCGTTTTTCTGTTTTGAACCTCCTCCTATTAGACCCTCCAGAAAAACGCGATTCTGCGATCGCAGAATTTACCGCATAATCAGCAAAATGGCGCAGATTTTGAAAAGGCCGCATATTTATCAAAAGGCCGCATAATCCCCGCATTTTTCCGCACAAAGTTGAGGAAAAAAAAAGTTAACTCGTCTTGACGTGAAGTGATGATGATGCTGACGCAACGTCATCAGCTCGCGCATCACAGAAGGTAAACAACACCGTAGAGTGAACGTGTGGAGCTCACACGAGAGAAAACACCAAGATGAAAAAATCTAATCCATCTCATTTACCGACGAACATTTCTGCTAAAGACCGAACAAAGCAGTACCCCGATGTCTTGCACGAAAGTGGGGGGAAACTATTCTGCACCCCGTGCAACTGTGTGTTGGAGCATAAGAGAACATCGACGGTGACGACCCACTTTGATTCATTCAAACATTCGAAAATGCTTTCTGCTGCTGCGGACAAGAAAGCCATACAACTCGCGTTCACCGAGGCATCGACCTCCAAAACCCTTTCAAGGGCTACAAGAAACGAGGTGAGAAGCCTACAAGATTGAAGCTGGTCAGATAACGAACAAGTAAATGAAAACAGAATGAGGCGGAGAAGTGTGTGTGTGTGTGTGTGTGTGTGTGCGTGTGATTAAAATAGCCCAATTGCTTTTACAATAAATAAACATTGAATGTGTTTAATTGAATAGTAAAGGGGTTTAACGTTAGTGGCAGGTTGTGTGTGAGAGAGAATAAATAAATAAGACAGCCCAATATTTATTTGTTCCGCATATTTCCCAACTTCCCGCAATTTCACCGCATAAAATCACATAAAACCCTGCATGTTTGATCGCATAATCAAGGATTTTAGCCCGCATTTTTCTGGAGGGTCTATCCTATTAATATCTTTGTACATCCTGCACTAAACTGTTTTATTGTAGAGATCACTTACAGTATCTTCTTGATTTTTTATATTATATATTTCTATCACAGACCTTCTACTTTCCCCCTATGAAAGTATGTGCTCTTAATATTTTTTTAATCAAATATAACACATAAAAACAATAATTCAATAACGTGCTTTAACCACTAGGAGGTGCACACAAGGTACACACAGCCATAATAACTTTGTATTATTAGTGTAGGACACTTATGTATGTACAACATCTGAAGATGTGTAGTTTTATGCATGCTTTCACATCATTTTACAGCATATTGCTATACTATTTCAGACTCATTATTTACATTCTTACATTCAAAGAAAATCAGTAATATCTTTAAAAACGACAGTCCTGTTATATCAGCTGTGCACCGTTATGGTGTAAATATAACCTATCTGTGAATTAGATCAAATGTAAAAGTCAGCCGAATTAGTGTTGATACTGCAAGGAGACGTATTGTGTGAAGAGAAATTGAAGATGTTGTTTAATTGTTGAATATATTTATGATCCACGTCAAGTATTCAGTTTCGGCGGCATTTCTTCCAGTTTTTCCAAAGGTCTTCTCATCAGGGCTCTATAAATAAAGAACTACGGCAGATCTGTAATATACAATGCAGCCGAACTGTGTATTACAAAGCCGTTATGTGATGACTTTCAAAGAGAAAAGCAAGAGCGCTCGGAATTAAGTATTATTTTATTCTTTTAAAATGTTTTCCGGATTTCATATCATATAAACACCAAATCCCAGCATGCATTGCGGCTAAAACATCCAATCAGCGATCTTAAACCATAGCTGAGGATCTTGGGTAATCGCTCGAAATGCCTACGTCTGTTTCCGGTTATTTTTATTTTGAAATTCAGTTCCTGGCGGACGCCAAAAAAGCCAGAGATTATGGAATTAAACCAATTAATAAAAGCAAGGATAATTGTGTGTTATTGGTGAGTAAATAACAGTGTGTTATTTTGAAAAGAATAACAAATTAGAAGGAAAAAAAGATTTAAAAAATACAGATTTCAGTATCCTGAGGCTCTGAGCCCCATTTATTTTCCTCACAGACGGCGACAAAAGTCCGAAATTATACGATTTCAAATAAAAGCAATAATTGTGGCTTGATATTGAGTAAGAACATGTTTTTATGAACCACACAGCTTCCGGTCTTCCTCGACCCGACCGGAGAAAAAGACGTGCTGCAGGCAGTAGAAATACATTGCTTTTAAAATCGTGCTGTGCAACACGAAAAAAAGGGGCAAATCGTGTTGGTGAACACGAAATGCCGTGAGACTGGGTTGGATAGTGAGAGGTTTACTAATGCTGATTTAGTGATTAGATGACTTCAAAGCAAATACAGTACAGAGTATTTGTGTTTAATAGATCAGGTGGTCAGCGTTTAAAGAAAGGTAATGTAAAAAAATAAAATAACGTATTCATTCATCCTCCTTTACTTTACTTATTTTTTTAAGAGGTCAGTGTTCAAACAACTCAAACAGTTAATCATCTCAGGATCAACTCAGACAACGGACAACACCATCACAACTGGTGGCATTGCAATACGTAACTCCTCTGTCTTTGAAGTGGGTTTCATTTGTTAATGTCGGATAAAACAAGATGTGATTACAACAAAAAGTAGGGTTCTTCTTGATTGCATGGATTCCTCTCTAATATTGAGTTGGACCCAAAAGACTCTCAACAAAGACCGTCCTGTTTCAACCGTTCTTTGGCCAATGAATACAAACTAAATCTGACTCCTGTTTGGAGCACTGTGGCTCATTGAAAGCTGATGTACCTACATGATTCTTGCTTTAATGTTTGGTTGCACTTACTATAAGTCACGTTTGATGAAAGCATCAGCTCCATGAACTGACATGAGGGTAAGAGAGAGCTCAATGCCTTAGCTCTGAGTTGCATTATGCCACCTAGCTAAACCTTAACTGGCTTCTCTGGAAAACAGCCATTCCAATCTGATCTGGAATTTAGCTTCCAGGATCCAGAAGAAGAGACAACAACACACTGGCTTCCTAGACAGTTTGAAATTCAGCTCTAAATACTTAACTCAACTAGAGTGCTATCTCAGAGCATAGGAACGGTGAAAGGAGCAGCAGAAGTCTGAGTAGGAGCTGAAACTCACCGGCCAACAGCAAAAGGAGAAGACCTGTCATCATGCCTGCCATCTCTGCCAGCGTCTGCCCTCCTGGTGCCACAGTGGAGCTTTTTAACCTCTTCACTGTCCTGTTGGCCTTCCAGCCACCAATCACCTCAGGAAGCTTTATCCACACAACCCCATTGGCTGCACAGAGGGGCCCATTTGCACCTTTCTGATCCCTTATCAGGTGCTCCTGCCCTATGGGTGGAACATGAACAAGAAAATACAAGAACTGACTTCATTGTGTCTTCAAGTAGATACTTATTAATAACGTTTAAGAACATATTAGTAAGAGTTGGGCTTAAGTTGAGGTTTTGTCTGGAAGGAACTCCATTTGAAGCAAAGAAGTGAACATGTTACTGTAGATCTGTACAGTAGGTGTCTGCACTCACTCAGAGATCAGTTCCTTCCTTCAGACAAAGGGAATAATAACCATTGACTGTGGGCTGTTGGGTTGCTAAGGTACATGTGAAGCGAAGTAAAGAGTATCAATGGTTTATTGTGTTTTTGAAAATCAAAGCACTATTTCTGCTATTCCTTTATTTTAAGTAGAGAAGACTATCTATTTGATTTGTAGAATAGAATAGAAAGCCATTATTGTCATTATACAAAAATATAAAATTAGATTTTGTTGTGAAACCTGTCGCAGTGCGCATACAAAAACACATAGTCAATCATACGAGGGGGTAATAAATCATTAAAAGCAAGAAGCTATAAAAAGCTATAAAGTGCATTAAGGAAGTGTTTAAAGTGCTAATGAGTTGGTTCATTATAATGATGTTGCCCTTAGGACTGCATGTTGAACAGCCTGGGGGCTCAGGGGTAAAAACTGTTTCCAGTCTGTAGGTGTTTTAAAACTCCTGTATCTCCTACCAGGAGGCAGGAGAGAGGCATCGGGAGCTGGAGAGGGCTCAGAGAGGGCAGACGATGGTTCTCTCCTACCAGGAGGCAGGAGAGAGGCATCGGGAGCTGGAGAGGGCTCAGAGAGGGCAGACGATGCCTCTCTCCTACCAGGAGGCAGGAGAGAGGCATCGGGAGCTGGAGAGGGCTCAGAGAGGGCAGACGATGGTTCTCTCCTACCAGGAGGCAGGAGAGAGGCATCGGGAGCTGGAGAGGGCTCAGAGAGGGCAGACGATGCCTCTCTCCTACCAGGAGGCAGGAGAGAGGCATCGGGAGCTGGAGAGGGCTCAGAGAGGGCAGACGATGCCTCTCTCCTACCAGGAGGCAGGAGAGAGGCATCGGGAGCTGGAGAGGGCTCAGAGAGGGCAGACGATGCCTCTCTCCTACCAGGAGGCAGGAGAGAGGCATCGGGAGCTGGAGAGGGCTCAGAGAGGGCAGACGATGCCTCTCTCCTACCAGGAGGCAGGAGAGAGGCATCGGGAGCTGGAGAGGGCTCAGAGAGGGCAGACGATGGTTCTCTCCACCATAACCCAAACAGACAGCATACCACACCGAGATGCAGCATGTCAGCCCGCTCTGGATGGTGGTCCGGGAGAAGGACACCAGCAGCAGCTCCTTCACTGCTGCAGTGCTGTGTGCTGTCCAGCTGAGGCTCTCGGAGATACGGACCCCCAAGAACTTGAAGATGGAGACCCTCTCCACTCTGTCTATACACACATTTATTTATTAGGATAAACCCCTGAGAATCAGAATCAGGTTTATCACCAGGTAGGTTCACACATACGAGGAATTTGACTTGACGTCATGGTGCGGACATACAAATAAAACATGAATTAAAACACAGGTAGGGAACGAGAACAAATATTAAAAATGATACAAAGATAGTAAAATATAGCAGTATGTACTTTGCAATGAAATGAAAAAAAGTCTGAATAGAAATCGTCAGTAATAAAAAAGACCAGAGCAGAGAACAGATGCACCATCTGGTTTCCAAGGGGTCCCGACAACAGCAACGTCTCACAGACATGAACAACATAACAGAAAGCAAAGCATGACAAACCACGTAGAGTCTGTTGAGTAACATTCATGAAGTAATACATACAATCATTACAATGTAGTGTCTAATGGATCAGTTCCATCAATAACAAGAGCAGCTGAAAGTGAGATGATGATGCTGAAACAGACCCAATGATGACGGGGGTCTGACAGCAGCAGGTGAAGTGTTCCAGTCTGTTGGGGCTTTAAACATCAACGCTCTGCTGACAGCAGGGGCGTCGCCTGGACCTGGAAACATTCGGGGCTTAGCCCACAGGGGCGGCGCTACAGTCAAATGTTCTACTGCAAGACTCCCCACACGCACATACACAATTGCGCCATCTGGTGTCACAAACGTGTGCCTGCATTAGCTTTGTTACGGCAATGCATTGTGGGAGATTCTCAGAGCACGTGAGGATCTCTTGAGGGTAAGGTGCCTGTATTATCTCGGTGGACAAAATGTATGTTTTTATTTTATAAGGACAATAACGTACTGTTGTGTTTGTTTAGTTTAATGTTAATTGTTTAATGCTCACAGTCACAGCAACATGTTTTTAGTGTGATTGGCTATTTGTTTTATATGATTTATTTATACACCAGTTTATTTATGTGTAATGTTTCACATTGCTCCACATGATGCCTTGACTACAAAGTCTTCCATGTTTCTACGCTTCTTCCTCTGTGTCACAGTTTCGGGAATATCAAGATCATTGAGGGCCTTGGTCTTGTCAGACCTCATGTGCTTTCTCGTTACTTTGGTAACTTTTCAGTGTGTTCTCAACTGCTGTTTTGTAATCTACTGCCTGCACCAAGTCAAGTGTTTCTTTCTGCAGGTATGTGTGCAGGCCCTGAGTGGTTGAGAGCAGTGTCTGGAACATGACAGCATGTAGAAGGTACTGCATTTTCAAAGCTTGCTTTCCAGTCCCTTTGCTAGAGGGGCTGAAAGGCTCCCTAAAGTCTTGATCAAAGCAGGGAGGTTTTTGACATGCCCAGCGAACAAGTTGTTTGTCCCCTACCTCGAGCTGTTTCTGAAATGTTTGCAATCTGATGGTGGACAAGAGATGTGGAGAAGAAAGAGTAGAGACACTCCAGGAGATCAACGCAGGTATGTGAGTTTTGTGCACCAGTTTGTATAAGTTTAATGTTTCACATTGCTAGTGAAAAATATACTACCACTATACGATCACTGATGTTTTGTTGTTGACTGGACACTTATTTTGTAAAAGAGATAGCATGAGAGGATCTCTTAAGCAATGCAGCTCACGTGTCCTTTTTATATGCTGTCCATTGAAATGCAGGAAAGTAATCAGCTCTGAGTGATCTGTTGATGAGGGGACACTACACCGGAGTTACATAAGCAGAGATAAAGTGCTATTTTGGGGGGAACTCACCTCCTCTGGGGGGGCCGGGCCATGCTCCCCCAGGAAGACTTTTTTTAAATACTGAAGTTAAAAGCATCAATCTTGTGCACTTTGAGAGCAACATTAAGAGATATGGATACATCTCTCAACACATGTCAAAAAGAAATCTCAGAATCAGAAACGGGTTTATTATTTAAAAACACTTCATTTTCCAATTAAATCATAAACTATGTCAAATTATTAGAAGTTGTTAGTAATCAGATTAAACAGAAAACAGGGATGGAAGGAGGAAATAATAATCCCTCATCTCTTGCTGTTTGCGGTTGAAATGATCTCTTTTGCTGGCCAAACATGCTGGATGGAAAGCAGTGGTGTCTCACTTGCCTTGGCCCTGTATCTGCAGTCCCTAAATCAGTCATGTTACTCATTGACTCTTGTCTGTTCTGGTGTTCCTGTTCATTGTTGTCTCCATTGTTGTTCTTGTCTGTTGTATCTCCTTCTTGTGTGTCCCTTTCTCCTGTTCTCCTTTATTCATCCTCTACTCTGTTTGGCTCATCTGTGATGACTGTGTAGGTAAACACAAACAAGTATGTAAGTCAATCAGTTTCCAGCTCTGTCAAATAAATGAATTTCAAGATACACACATGTGTCTTCATTCAAATGAGTGTCACCACACTGTCACAAAATGTAATACTAACCAATTGAAAATAGTTACATTTACATCTCTTGTAGATATCACTGTTAGAGTAGTTATCTGCCAATAGGACAGAATCATTCCTATACAAATGCAGTTTGAGTAATTCACTTAAAACTTTAATATAGTCATTTTCACTTAATACTCTAATATAGTCATCTTTCTGCATTCAACACTAAGGAAAGCTGTACAATTTGACATGATCATGAGGAAAAAAGGCCTCCGACAATGCAGATCATTTTTTGATCATATCAATTTTAAGATGCGGGTCAAGGCTTAATATTTGGGAGCATAGTGTCCCTTCCCCCTTTCAGGAGCCCCACTGAATTGGCTTTGATCTGAAATATTTGTATAAAAAGCTTGTTAGCTGGCTGTCCATCTCATAATGTACACATAGAAACTAGCTGTCAATAGGAAATATCAATCAGAAGAATTGTATTTTCATGCAAAATCTGTCACAAAAAGAGGTTGCACATTTAAATGCAGGTGTTGTTATGGCAACGTCAGTGGCCAGACAGCCACATTTACTGCTGCAAATACGTTCAAACATGCTGTCGACGTAAAGCAGTGGCAACTATGCCACCATTTCAGCTGACTTTTTCTCAGAAATACTGTCACATAACATCCATATATTTCAGTGCTAGGTTGATGCTTAGCTAAGCTAACTATGAAACACTTTAACTGACAGGACTCAGGAATCAGGATCAACTGTGTACTGTGTAAGGTAGCTTCTAGCTTCATGTCGAACACAGACAGTAAGTCAACATTTCCCAGAGAGCTTTCTTTGAAATCACCAAGTAACGCTAAAAAACACAACATTTAGATTGTATGACAAAGTGTTTATTTAATATATCTGGCTAGCTATAGCTACTTGCTAACGGTTTAGCTTACCCGCGCGATTCAAAGTAACGTCAACGTAGCTATAATGTATGCTTTGCTTACATGTTCGCATAACTTGTAAGTTTACTGACAGGTACATACCTTGTTCACCTGGCTCAGGTGGTGGCTCTGGGGTTGTTGTGTGAGCCACCACTTGAGAATGGCCGTCTTTTTTATTAAAGAAATGTCTAATGTCCATCTTCAGAATCTCCGCGTCCGGGGCTGAAAGTTTAAAGTTTAAACATTGTCACAGAGGAGTGCCTCTGTGTTGCATTCACTGAACATGGGAAATTACATTCTGCCGTCCGTCCTATAGGTAAAGTAGGTTAATGTATTATATTATTGAGGGAGAATTTGTCCGGGGCTAAAGAAAAAACATCCGGGGCTAAAGCCCCGGATGCCTACCCCAGGCAACGCTCTGCTGACAATACATGTTTTAGCCGAGAAATGCATCTGGACAGAGTTCTGACTTGATAGTTTCACGAGTAAGGTACAACATACTGCTTTAAATGCATTTAAACATAAGGGGGGTGGGGGGGGGGGGGGGGGGGGTTCTGCTCTGTTTCCTGTAGTCGATGATGGGTTCTTTAGTTGAGGGACAGGTTGTTGTCAGGACACAAGGCAGAACACTTCAGGACCTCGCTCTTCATCATGGATGAGACTGTCCCACAGTGTGTAATGTAATAATGGAGTTGGAGTGGTAGTGGGAGTGCAGTTGTGTGTATAGTGTGTGTGGGAGAGGGTTCAGCAAGCCAAGAAAGGGTGGTCCTCAATCCCCCTGCGACTGTGTCTGGACCTCAGCTCTGTGAATGGTGTGTGTGTGTGTGTGTGTGTGTGTGTGTGTGTGTGTGTGTGTGTGTGTGTGTGTGTGTGTGTGTGTGTGTGTCTGCTCTATAACACGTCAGTGCAGCTTCAGTCAAATTGAGGAGATATAAAGGTAAAATGAAATGTCTGAATTGTCCATTGAAATGAACCACGAGGTTTTAGTGATAGATTACGCTGACATTTTGATATTTAAACTAACATTTTGAATATGACAATAGCAGCCGTAGTGTGCTCACGTTTGGTTTATCAATGTATGAACTTCACACCATACGATAACACCAGTAGGTAAATTCAGCTCTGTGTGGAGTCCTCTGTTTCAACACCAAAGAAATATTTGACTGAGTATGCAAACGGGCATAATCTGATCAAAACCCTCGTGGTTCATTTCAATGGACAGTAAACTATGGAAATTCCTGAACGACTGAAGAGAGGACACCCAGCAGCGCCAAAGATCACACATTTTACATTTTAATTAGAAATAAAAATACAATTACTGACAATCCAGTCTTTATTGTTTTTGCATTGGAGTCAAGTTGTCACACACATTCCTGTAAATTACATTACGTGTTACTTGTTAAACGCTATTATCCAAAGCGACTAACATACATTCAGTACTGAGGACAATCCCCACAGGAGCACTTTGGGGTGAAGTGTCTCAGGGACACAACGACATGCTGACTGCAGCGGGACTCGAACCTGATATCCCCTGATTCAAAGTTCACACACACACACACACACACACACACACACACACACACACACACACACACACAGAGACACACACACACACACACACACACACACACACACACACACACACACACACACACACACACACACACACACACACACACACACACA